AACTCATTTTCTCCTATTTGCATTTCTTGTTCTCTTTCTGAGAATTTAATCGCATCAGTGAGTTCAGATGTCTTCGGCGCTTTGACGAAGCTTCTAAAGTTTTTTTCTCCAGACTGAACCTGATTCAGCTTTAAGTGTTACTTTATGAAGCAGCTAAAAGTTAAAAAAAAAGAAAAATCCTGCTGCTCTAGGAGATAAACTTGTTTTGATTGATTACTTGTCTTGTTTTTAGCAGTGTTTAAAGAAACAAAACCTGAGCTGATGTGGAGATTATTAAAGTTTAATGTTGAGATGATAAAGTCAAAAGTAAAGTTCTGGATGTAAGGGGTTTTAAAGTCTTCCTTTGAGCCGATAAGTATGCAGGTTGCATTTAATACAGCAGGGTCACTTATCTCCGGAGACCAGGTAAAAACTCATTTCCATGGAGGTCACTGCGACACGATTGACTTCATGCACAGAGCCCGCTGCAACTTTAAATTATTCCGTAGATTAGAAGTAAAAGGCTAGCAAGTAACCCTTAAATCTCTCCATGGAAAATAAATGAATAAAAATTAACTTTGCTGTCCTGCAAACTTTTAAATATTTACCTACTGCTCATTTTACTGTCCTGCTGGTGGTAAGGAGGACAATTCATGACATTTACACCCGACATAAACACAACCAAACAGTGCAGACAAAGAACAGAAACATTTATGAGGTAAAGCTCAGAGATTGAGGACGAAATCTTAAACCCATGTTTGGCCTGGCAGTGAGAGTCTCGCTATTTTCTGGACTTATGGATGAAATGAGATCTCATGGGAAAATTAAAAACTACATTTCACTGTACTTTGACAGATAGCTGTTACTTGTGATTTTTTTAAGTAAACATATGTCTGAAACTTTTTGTGTTTGCATCAGTTTTGCTTAGGAATAGTCAGGTTCTCGAGGGTTTGATTCACAAGATAATACGTCTTGCAAGGTACCCAATATCTAACTAAGTCTGAAGTTTTAGGTTTGATGACATTAATAGTGGTTACTTTTAAATCCTCCTCCACACGTTCCCCTAAATCTCCACAATCTAACAAAACATGGCATCAAATGTGGAAAACGTTCAGTGATGGCAAAACCCCCAGGTTGTCTAAACCTAAAGGTGATGAGAGTTCTTTAAAGGTGTCCTTGGAAATTATGTAAATGGAGAGACAGTCTCTTGTTCTGGTCCAAACTATCGGTAACAGACTGAGGTCTGCTGAGCTTCAGGTCAGTTTCATTTTGTTGATTGGCTTGTTCTCTGTTGTCATTCCCCTTAGCTCCAATTTATTTAGCCTTAGCTAAGATTTATGCTTTGGAATATGGGTTCATAGCAGTTTGACTCTCTGAAACACATACACAATAATTAGGACACATTACTTAGAGTGGTGCTTGAAAGTTTGTGAAGTTTAGAATGTTCTATATTTCTGTATAAATAAGACCTAAAATGTGAACAGATTTTCACACATTTTCCACTTGGCATGAGGAATTTTAGCCCATCCCACTGTTCAGAACAGCTTCAACTCCCGGATGTTGGTTGGTTTCCTCACATTAGCTGCTCGCTTCAGGTCCTTCCATAACATCTGGATTGGATTAAGGTCAGGACTTGGACTTGGCCATTCCAAAACATTTTTATTCTTCTTGAACCATTCTTTGGTAGAACCACTTGTGTGTTTAGAGTCATTGTTTTGCTGCACGACACCTTTTTTTGAGATTCAGTTCATGGACAGATGTCCTAACATTTTCCTTTAGAATTCTTTAATACAATTCAGAATTCATTGTTCCATCAATGATGACAAGCTGTCGTAGCCCAGAAGCAGCAAAACAGGCCCAAACTATGATACTACCACCACCACCACCGTGTTTCACAGATGGGATAAGGTTCTTATGCAAGAATGCAGTGTGTTCCTTTCTCCAAACATAACACTTTTCATTTCAACCAAAACGTTCTATTTTGGTCTCATCCATCCACAAAACATTCTTCCAACAGTCTTCTGGCGTGTCCACATGATCTTTATCAAACTGCAGATGAGCAGCAATGTTCTTTTTGGAGAGCAGTGACTTCCTCCTTGCACCCTTGCCATGCACACCATTGTCCTTCAGTGTTCTCCTGATGGACTCATGAACTTTAACATTAGTCAATGTGAGAGAGGCCTTCAGTGGTTACAAGTTACTCTGGGGTCCACTGTGACTTTGCCGACTATTCCACATCTTGCTCTTTGAGTGATCTTTGTTGGTCGACCACTCCTGCGGAAGGTAACATCCATCCATCATCTTTAACCCGCTTCTTCCATTTTGGGTCACGGGGGTCGGCGGTGCCCATGTCCAGCAATCACTGTGCGAGGGGTGGGGTACACCCTGGACAGGTCGCAAGTCCATCACAGGGACACATAGAGACAAACAACCATTCACTCACGCGCGGAGGGCAACAATGGAATTGAATTTCCTCCATCTGGACACAATCTGACTGTGGATTGGTGGAGTCCAAACTCTTTAGAGATAGTTTTTTATCCTTTTCCAGCCTGATGAGCATCAACAACTCTTTCTGAGGTCCTCAGAAATCTCAGTTGTTCCTGCCATGATGCACTTCAACTAACATGTTGTGAAGAGCAGACTTTGATAGATCCCCGTTCTTTAAATCAAACAGGGTGTCCACTCACACCTGATCATCATCCCATTGATTGAATACAACCAAGTTCACCTTCGAATCAACTGCTAATCCTAGAGGTTCACATATTTTTGCCACTCCCAAATATGCAATATTGAATCACTTGCCTCAATAAATAAAATAACCAAGCATAATATTTTATCTCTTTTGTTTAACTGGGTTTTCTATTTTTAGGACTTGTAAAAATGATTATGTTTTAGGTCATATTTATGCAGAAATACAGAAAATTCCAAAGTGTTCACATACTTTCAAGCACCAACCTGTGCCATCTGATAAAGAACTGTAGCCATGAAGAGGAACTGTAGTCAGTCGTTTAGAAAATAGGCAATTTAGCATCAAATGCATGGCGAGGGTTCTGTTGGAAGAACATTGTGGTTTTTCATCACACCGATTCAGAAAAGTCATCTAGGCAGTGGAGATTTCTGCTGGAGACTGTGTGGGACTAGCGGAGCCACACACAAGCACATCTTTCATAGATGCCATGTTGTTGGACATTTCTGGGAGGAAATAAAGTCTCATAGAATATGTCTTTGGAGTTAAGATTCCTTTTAAATTTACTATTATGTATATGGGTAATGTACAACAGAAGTTGAATAGAAATTATAGAAAATTGTTTGGTCTTCTTATGGCAGCCAGTAAAAAGGTTCTTACATTAAAATGGCTGAAAGTTTAACCACCTACCATTGAAGAATGGCTTGCTATTGTGTATGAAATATATATAATGGAAAATAGCACATATTCTCTCACAATTCAAAAAGATAACATTTTATAGAATTTGGTCAAAGTATGTAAAGCCTGTAAGGTCGGACTTTGTGTAAAACCACATCTTCCCACCCACCCACTACATTTACTTTATGATGCAGTACTGTGTTTGTACCAAGGTATCTGCTTGTCAAGCCTCTCCAACACCATTTGTTTTGTTTTATTCATTGGTATATTCATATTCTTCTATTTGCTGCAACTAGCTATATGCTTTACAGAAAATTACAAAAAAAATAAATAAAGAAAATGGGAAATTTTAAGAATTTGACAAGTTGAACACAACTGGTCTCAGAAAAATGAACTTAAAATGAATACAGCAGGCACATTATATGCATTTCTATTATACAACAATCTGTACCAATGGCATAGATATGCAAAGACCTTAACCTTTGACCATGATGTGTGACCTAGACCTTGAAGCTGGGGTGATAAAAATATATGATTTAACATACTGACTCAGTGCTACAAATTTATATAAAGTTTACTTAATTTACTGTTAGTGGATCAGAAATTATGGTCCGGACTAAAAAAAAGTTTACAAACTGATGGAGACTATACCACAATAGTCTTTTTAAAGGGATATAACAAAGTTGTGGTTAATTCAATAGATTTACCATCTAAACATAGGAAGAGATGCACATTAGAGCCTGGTACCAAAGGGGACCTGGTTATATTATGAAGCAACTTATTCTCTTACAAGTACAGATACCAGGATGAGTTAAAAAGTGAATTTTTAGTTCAGTTATTGGGTACCAATGAGGCACACACCCCATAGGTACTAGGATATATTATGTATTGCTACCAAACATGGCTTACCAAGAAACTCAGTTGCCCTATTGCTGCATAAACTATGGCTGACCATGCTTTGATGTTTAAACATTCAACCAATTTTCATTACAACTTGAGCTGATGGCAAAACAATTTTATTACAAAACTTGATTTGCTAAAATGTTGCAACAGGTGAAATACTGCTTCAGGCCTTGTAACAAAGGCTGTCAAAGAAACAAGAAAATATGTTTGGCAGTCGGAACAAAAATCTTATTGTGTTAATACCGATATAAAGCACCATCACAACAGACTGACAAGTAATCTACATCAGAAGACTCTTGGATAATATCTAAAAATATCTATATGCAACTCGTTAAAAATGGATTTCAGATTGCGGGAAAAAAATTGACGAGTGTACAAATGACTGAAAACAGAACATTTCTTGTTTTGTACCCAATTTTAAACATTTTCCACAGTCAGTTGTAGTTAAATAAAATCTAAGTTTATTTGTGCAAAATTATGTCAACTTCCACACTGTAAATATGGTGAATTCAGTTTGGTAATACAGTTACCATTGTCTGGAAAATACATGCTCATTTTCAGTTCTCTATGTAGGAGTTGCAAACTGATCAAGCAGATTTATATGCACACTGTTTTTTAATTTTTTTTTTTTTTATAAAAACTGAGATTAGTCAATCCTGCTTCATGTTGATGCTGCTGCACCCTCTGATGGTGGAGTCTTCATGTTGATGCTGCTGCACCCTCTGATGGTGGAGTCTT